TTATGTTGAGGTATGATCCTTCTATTCCCACTTTGCTGAGGGTTTTTATCAGAAATGGGTGCTGCATTTCATCAAAAGNCTTATTTATGTTTTCAAAGAACCAGCTCTTGGTTTCATTGATTTTTTGTTTTTTGTGTGTGTTTTTTTTAGTCTCTATGTCATTAATTTCTGCTCTGATTATTTCCTTCCTTCTGCTTCCTCAGGGCTTTTCTTGCTGTTCTCATTCCAGTTCTTTTAGTTGTTGTGTTAGATGGTTCATTAGATCTTTTTCTTGTTTCTTGAGATAGGCCTGTAATGCTAGTAATTTTACTCTCAGGACTGCTTTTGCTATGTCCCATAGATTTTGGGTTGTTGTCTGGTCATTTTTGTTTTTTTCCATGAAGTGTTTGATTTCTTCCTTCATCTCATTGGTCACCCATTCATTGTTTAATAGCATGTTATTTAGCTTCTATGTGTTTGAATATTTTTGAGTTTTTTTATAGTGGTTGATTTCTAGTTTCATGGCATTGTGATCTGAGAAGATGCTTGATATGATTTCAATCTTCTTGTATTTTAGAGACTTGCCTTGTTCCCTAACATGTAATCTATTTTTGAGACTGTTTCATGTGCACTTGAGAAGAATGTGTATTCTGCTGCTTTGGGATGAAATTTTCTGTAAATGTCAATTAAATCCATTAGGTCTCGTGAGTCATTAAGGTCTATGTTTCTCCGTTGATTTTTTGTCTTGATGGTCTGTCCAGGGCTGACAGTGGGGTGTTAAAGTCTCCTACTATGATGGTGTTGCTGTCAATCTCCCCCTTAAAGTCCACCAAGATATTTTTTATATATTTAAGTGCTCCTATATTGGGTGCATAAATATTTATAAGGGTAATTTCCTCCTGCTGGATTGATCCCTTCAGTATTATGTAGTGATCATCTTTGTCTCTTGTTATGGTCTTTATTTTGAAGTCTATTTTGTCAGAAATAAGAATTGCTACTCCAGCTTTCTTTTCCTTTCCATTTGCATGGAATATTTTATTCCATCCCTTCACTTTTAGCCTGTGTGAATCTTTTGCCCTCAGGTGGGTCTCTTGTAGACAGCATATATTTGGGTCCTGTTTTCTTATCCATTCAGCTACTCTATGTCTCTTGATTGGACTGTTTATTCCATTTACATTTAAGATTACTATTGATAACAACTTATTTAATCCCATTTTTCCCCTTTACGATGATGTACCTTTCTCTCACTATTTTTTTCTTTTTCTTAGAGCAGTCCTTTTAGCATTTAGTATCATTTTTGGTAATAGTAAAAAACAAACAAACCTGCGATCAGCTCGAAGTGCCCATTTATAAATGAATGCTCTGATTAATTATGTTATATCTATTCAATAGAATTATGTATGAGCTCTTTAAAAATATGATATGTGTTAACTTAGAAAGATTACGTTATTGTTGTAAAAATCAAATTACCTAATAGTATATATTATTTGATGACAATGTTTTTTTTTAACTCTAGGTATAAATGTGTTTTATATTTGTATAAGCAAAGAATATAATGGAAGTTTTAGGATTTATATAAATCAGTTCCTAAGGAATTCCATTAGAAGGATAGGTTTAAAAGAACAAAATGAGACTGTGCTTGGTTATGTTAGGCATTTCAATATAGTTTGGATTTTTGCTGCAAGTGTGAAAGGTTTAAAAACTCAATTAAATGAAACACACATATGATGTGGCAAGAACTTGAGCAGAGATACGTACAGGATGCTAATGGAGCACAGGGGAGGGAGTAATTCACTTTTCTATAGAGAGGGTAGTCTTCAGCTGAATCTTGAGAAAACTATAGGAATGTAATTTTTATTGGTTTATGATTTTGGAGATATGGGATATAGGCCTGATCTTCTCATTAACTCCAGAGATGGTTTTTGGTAGACTGATTCTACTTTCTAAATATCTCTCAAATACACCCCCTTCTGCAATAACAATAGCTTTTAAGGCTATATATCTACTCAAATTCACTCATAATAAGAAAAAAATCAAATTAAAATGATGTATTATACATCCAATTCTAATTGGAAAAGTCTGATCATCAACATCAAAAAGTGAAAAGATTCTCAGGCACCTTTCTATTTGCTAGATGGGACACTGCTGATAAAAGCCAATTAGATCCTTAAATTTACTTGGTTGAATTTTTCTTCTTTAACATTGCTTAAAAACCAATAGCTTCTCATTACTTCAAAGAAAATAATTAAATTCCTTAAGAAAAAAGTCTAAATTCTTTACTACATTATGCATATCTCCTTATGTCCTCTAGCTGATAAGTGTCAAATTAAGACACCATTCAACATTCATCTTTAGGGAACTTCAGAGATAATTCAATATGTTGGAACATAAATATACCAAGCTCTCCAAGACTCCCACTGCCAGGACAGATATGCAGCCTCTTACTGTAGCCCTATTCTTTATTCTGCAATACCAATAGCTTTAAACCTATATATGTACTCAAATTCACTCATAATAAGAAAAAAAAATCAAATTAAAATGATATATTATACATCCAATTCTGATTGGAAAAGTTTGATCTTCAACATCAAAAAGTTAAGAGTTGAGAACAAAGATACTCTTGTCTCCTATAGGTGGGAGAATATGTTGATCTACCGTCCACAGCATCCACTCTTTATGCCTAGACTTATGCAAGGTCTGTTTATAAACCCCATATAAAATTGCACCCTGATTAACACATGCAAGTACTACCATGATGTCACAACTGCCCCTTATCCAGAGATGAACCCTGACTACATGGGAGCCACCTCACCCAAGAAGCTACTTCCCCCATGGCAGGGTAGCCCACCGCCAGCATCTGGCCCCTTTGCTCCACAAGGGATCTGACTAAAGCTAAAATCCAAATGAAAATACATTTGTGTTTAGCTCCTTTCCATGCCCTATCCTACACTTCCCTTATTCTGTTGACATAAAGCAAATTACAGATGTCATAATAGTTTACTCATAAATATTTCTGTATGTACCTTTAAATGTAAGTGACTCTTTAAAGACTGTTAAAAACAAAATTCAACTGAATAAATTGTAAAGATCTTATTGGCTTTATCCTATGATTCATGAATCAGGCAGCATCCAATCTAGCAGGCGGAAAAGAACTCTTAGGAACTGTACAAAATGAAAGAGTTTTATAGGTAGGAGGAAGCAGGAACAGGAAGGCATATGAGGCAACAAGCAGACTGGTTGCTGCAAGGCTACTTTCCTTTAGGTTAGGGGATAGGAGGGGTTTCTCAGGCATATTACCTAATTAGTGCTGATCAAGTGATTGAATTGACTGGTTTAAGATTCCATTTCTGGAAGAGCTGAAGCTGTAATTAAATCTTGGTTTTATGACATGGGGCTCAGCATAAGCTACTCCATAGTGGACCTGTTGTCTTCGTTTTTAACAAAACATAACCACAATACCATTATCATGTATAAAAAGTACCTCAATAAATTCTTAATATCATCAGACATTCAGTGTTTAAATTTTTTGCCCCTTTGCAGTCTTCAGTTACTTGCCTCATGGAAAGCAAGAAGGTAAAAGTTCGCTCATTTTTTGCAAATTTGAGTGAGCATGTTCATTGCAACTGAAGTCATGGCTTAGTGAGCTGAAATAATTCTGCACCATAATTGACAATAAGATGTCACTACAAATGTATCACTTTTGCTACCACATCAGAGAGTGGAAAACAAGAGATGTGTTCCAGGTGGGGCTCAGCTGGGCTTTTCAGGGAGTCCCAGAGAGATGGCATTTGAGGGGGAACACAGTCTTGCCACCCCAAATATGCCTTTTGGGTGATCGTGATTATTTTATATTGGTTATTTTTAAGAAACAAGATTCAGGGGAAACTTTGACCTTTCCCCTAACTGCCTAAAAGAATTTAAGATAGAGGCTCTGCTCCAGGAAGTGAACTATGGACATAGATAACTATAACTTAATACGAACTAGGTACGATCAACAGAGAGAAACCTAGCAGGGCCCATTTTATCAAAGTCCTCTCTGTGTTCTATGGTTTGTTTCAACAAACATTTGTTTACTAAACATTAACTTTTTTCACTACACAGTGAATTGTCTTCCTGCCTTCTGAAGTCCCATACCACAATCTCCCTTACTCCTTAACTCAAGATGGCTCAGGTGCCATATTTTTTATGCGAACCCCCCCATATGCACATATGTAATAAATTTGGTTATTTTCTCCTCTTAATTTGTCCCATGTCAATTTGATTTTAAGACCAGACAGAACTTAGAAGGGTAGAAGGAAAATCAGTTGTCCTCCCCCATGTATTCTAACCTCTCCATCCATTGATAATCACCATCAAGAGCTGACTGCAATTCAGGAATGTGGTAATTACACATTTTTGTACTAAACATCCAATTTCACCACTTTATTATGTAATTACTGATTGATTACTGGAAACTAAAGCTAATAATGAAGTGCTAACACTCTCTTCCCCATAGGAATACTGTAATGACTCTGAATTATGCAGATTTTAAAAAACAGATAAAAATATCTTATTTGCAATTTAATTATTCTACCATCCTCAAATTTCTATTTCATGATGGAGTAACAAGCATCTTTACAATGAGCATACCATACAATAAGGTACTAACACAAATGTAGTCCATGCTCAGATCCTTCCTCATATACTTGCTTTCAAAGAGGGATTATTGGGTCTATTACTCCCCTGCCCAAAATAATTTATTAAAAAAGGTAAACCCACTCAATTAACCATGATTAATTTTATGCCTTTATAATAACAAACATGGTTTTCTGAATGTTCTACTCTTCAACTTTTAGTCTTGGCATCAGAGGGACACAGCTTAAAACACAGCCAGGGATGATGGCCTTTCAACTGAGACAATTGGTAAAACAACTAGAAATAAAAATAATACTTGGTGGCACTGGGAAAAGAGAACCAGAGTTGGAATCTCTTCCGTTCTTTGCTACTTACTCATTTTGCAAGTTGAGCAAGTCTCCTCTCTGCGTCTGAGTCCTTGTCTATAAAATAATTGGAGCACTGGATTAAATCAATTATTAGAACTCTTTTAGTTAAGGAGCTTCATTTAGATTTTGACTCTTTCTATGATCCTTACTTCTTCATGTATCATTTTTGTTTTAAACATCATTAGATATTCCATCAGGAAAGCTGTTAGAATATCATCTTAAAACATACTTAGGACAAGCAAAAAAAAAAAAAGAGGATTGTAGGCAAAAGAAAAAATATCAATACATTTTAAATGGCAACCCTTTTAAAATGATCACTGTCCAAGTTCATCTTAGATAGCAAGATGATTCACTTAGATTCAGATTCCCAACTAGGCAGACAGTTTTTCCATAATTAACTTTTCTTCTGCAAATCAAGTGACTGGTTTTGTTTGATATTTTTGCGTATATATTCTTTTAATAAGGAAAAAAAAATGCAATCCATGCCCCAATTTCAAGTCACTAAATAAAATACAGCCACACTGGCTTTGAATTATATTTACAAAGCAAATAGAAAAGTACATGGATTCAAAGGAGATAGAGTTTATAGCCATTTAGGTGAGAGGAGAGGGGGAAAAACACAGAAGTAGAAACATTTTTACAGAGTATATTGTGTTTCAGAGTAGCCTTGGCAAATAAATAAAAAAGAAAAAAATAGAAAGCTATTCCAAAGGACAGCAATTCCAAGGAAAGGAGTCGGCGTTAGGAGGAAAAGGTGGAAGAGAAAGGTATGGCCATCATGCCAGATATTATCAATAGGCACACTTTTTTAATGTGAACAGCAATCTGAGTATTGGTATTGTAATTTTGCAGATGTGGAAACCGAGGTTCACAGAGGGTTTTAACTTCCCCAAGTCACACACCTAATAAATAGCACAGCCAGCCTTCAAAGCCTCCTCTAAGTGACTTTGAAGTCACATTAATCTGAGATATTCATTTATTCAAAAAGCATTTGTTGAGCATTCACTGGGTGTCAAAGACAGGAGTTAACAAGAGTGATATAAGGGGGGAGGGGGCATCTGGGCTATATAGTCATTGTCTCTAAGGAGCTGGCAGGCTCTAGGGCTGGGTCAGGAGAGAGTGAGTGGTCCAGCTGACCTGCAATAACCTTGCCAGCCTCTTGCTTCAGGGCTCCATGAGGTACCCTGAGATCATCCTCATTGAGACCAGTTTAACTTCTGGTCCCTGTCCTCCACGGAGTTTCTTTGGGGTAAGGATTATTCTGGCGCAAGGAGGAGCAAGCTCAGGGCTGTCTGAAAAAAACAGTTAAGAGAAGCTTCTATTTTGATGGGGCTGCCACTGTCCCTAAAAGAAATACAGACTCAATTGTCTTGTTCCTTGAGTTTCATTCACAGACCCTGGGCACCTTGGATATATGACCAAGAGCAGAAAGATCCTAGTCTGTGTCCCTTCCCTTTTCCAGAAGGCGTCAAGGATGCCCAGGCAGAACAGAAATCCCTTTCTCTCCCTTGCCTGGTGAAGCTTTGCAGGCAAAGTTTAAGTAATAGCTCCTCATGGTTTTCTTCTCCCTGACACTCTCTTTGTCCCTAACAACACATTCCTCCCCATTCTTTTTTCTTTTCCATCCTTCTTGATGCACTAACATCTAAAGCAAACTGCCCTTATTCTCAGGAACTCTAAACTAGAAAAGCCATTTTGTTTTCTAATATTGCAAAGCTTACTCACCTCCAATGTGAGGGAGCCTTCTCAATGCACATTGAGATTAGTGTCTGCCTACATCTTAGCATTTTCCTGGGCCTAACAGAAGAAGGCTTATCTGTGTATAGGCTTTGAGCACTGAGCAGAAGGGATGTCCAGATCTCAGAGGCTAGCGATAAAATGTGGAGGCACTTCCAGTTTTAGATGGCTATTAACAGGGATAATTTCTGCAGAACACTCCCCTGCAGTGCCATTATCAACTGGATACAAAACCTAATTGTCCCATATTATCTTTAACTGGGTTTGGGAAAAAGAAATGCCTCAGATAGAGATTTTAGGGGGGGAAAAAGCATAAACTGAGTATTTAATAAAAGATACATACATACATTTGTAATCAGTTATCATGGCAAATAACTTACTGTTCATGTTTTTATGTTCTATTTTTTAGGGAAATGGGAGAGACATTAACGCTGCTTTTAGGATACAAGTGTGAAGGTGGGGAGGGATGGTAATGGGAATAGAGGTGGCCTATACTCTAAAACAAGAATTTATTTAAATTTTCCTTTTTATTCCTCAGATGAAGCTTAGGTGATTCTTGAAAAATTCTATAAATACATTTCTTTCTGATCAATTTATTAATAGATACCGGAACATAGGTTAAAAAAAAAAAAAAAAGTTACAATCCCCTTAGCAACTGCCCAAAAATATCTTTAAGACTATTAGCTTTTGTCCAGCCAGGCGTGGCTCAGCGGTTGAGCATCGACCTAGGATCCAGGCGATCAGGGTTCGATTCCCGGTCAGGGCACATGCCCGGGTTGCGGGCTGCAGCCGATCAATGACTCTCTCATCATTGATGTTTCTCTCTCTCTTCCTCTCCCTTCCTCTCTCTGAAGTCAATAAAGATATGTTAAAAAAAAAAAGATTATTAGCTTTAAATGCTGCAAAGCTGTGTTTATTTGGCTTCTGATTTTTACATATATCCCAGATGACAAATAAAAAGCTATTAAACCCTGGCTTAATTTGAGTGTCTCTCAGAAGCCTATTCTTTCATCAGAATAAAGTGGGGCACAACAGCTAGAAGACATATGGGTTGCTTTAGCTCAAACAAACACAGCTAGAATGTTCGAAATGACGAAGAAGTAACATTTTCTGGAAAAGCGTAACATTATCTTACCAACGATCATACTTGCTTTGGAAAACCTTTCAAATGAACAATGGTTTGCATTATACTCAGCCTTCAGTTTCTCCCCAAAACCTCTTTTGCAGGCATTTCCTAGCTCTCTCACCATCACTTGACAGTTTTGTTATTTTAGTCTGATTTTCTGCAATTTTATTTCTCTGCTGTCTGGATGATTTTATTATTTGCAGTATTCTCCCTTTCAGATTGGGGTTTTTATTCTGGGTTTGGCTTGCTGGGGTTTTGGCAGGCTACTGCTATGAAATACAAGAGGTTTGGAAGCTATGCAGATGGCAAATGTAGTTTTGTGTGCTTTCATTCATGATGGGCTTCCGTCTTTTTATAACAGGCAGGAAAACTGCCAACTCTCATTTCCTGTGCCCACTTCTGACATATTTAAGCAAGATTGCTGTGGTGACTTGCAGGACTGAAAGTTTTTTAGGTTGAGTAGGCTCCGGTGGGTGGAATTTAAAACAAAAACATTCTGTTGATGCTTAGATTAATCTTTTTACAATTGTTTTCTATCTTGGTATGTGTTTAATGAATCTGTTCACCTTTGTAGTTAATATCTCCTTCCTTATAGAAGAGTTAAATGAGTACCTAATATTTTCTTTTGTTTTTCAGTGTTTGTTTTCCCGAGCCAGTATATATAACAATGAAATCTTTTTATTTCCAAAGAACATCTTGCCAAACATTTCCTTTAAAATAATAAGACCTACTCTCTCATTTGAAGTTTAATAACCTTATTTCCAGAAACGGGATCTCAAAAAAAGAAGCATTCATTTCAGTACTTAGACGTGAGAGCTTAAACTTAGAGAAAATACTTCTTTACAGAAAAGGAAGAACAATTTTGCCACACCATGGCTCGGATATTCAGAACCCTCTAGTGCAAGGGTGTTAAAAGTGCAGTCTCAGAGAAACAGTGAATTACTGTTAGGCCTTGTTAAGGAAAGTACGTATTTCCATCATGTAACTACTGCAATATGAGAACTAGAAATAAAGTCCGGCTGTGCCTCAGTTTCCCATGACTATGCCTATTTTCTTCAACAGAAAGATTGGAGGAAACATAAGTCTAATTAATTTCTGTACAATCTAAAAGCCCAGCACAAGAATATATAAACATTCAGCATAAGAAAAACAGACCTTCACAAATACAGCTTCATATGCACGGGCATACTATACAGTGTCTATTGATTCATGGATTCTACTATGAAAAAGCATACACTTTGCCCCTGGTTACACACATATAATATGACAAATAAGCAACTGGTCTGATTCTAATTATGCTCTCTTTCAATAGAAATCGGAATTCAGTGGGAATACTGAATGTATAATGAATGGAGTCCTAACCATGGAACACAAAAACAAGGATTCCAGATGTCCCAGGAGATTTCCAGTACCTCCCCCACAACCTGGGCAAGACATTCTCCATCATGGAGAACCATCTTTATAGCAAGACATTTGTTTCCCTGGTCTTGCCTACAAAATGCCAATAGCCTCCCCCAAAGTCAAATGTCAAACAAAAAAACACCGCCACCTTTTCCCAGATGTCCCTTGGGTGGCAAGGTCCCATGACCATTTGAGGACCACTGTGCACAGTGCTGGCTTGGAGATTCTTCTAACCTAGAACCCCAAAGCCACGGAGACAGGTCTGTTACACATTAAAGGAGCCAGACCATAGGGCCTGCACATGCTGCACGTGCTTCACATAGGTTGGGTGGTTTTTTTGCATGAATTGAGAGTTTGCATTATTAAACATTCCATTTATTCAATTTGACCAAAATCATAAAGAGGATAATGTAGACACAAATATTACGTAAAGAAAAAAACTAAGCATCAATTTTTTCTCAGATTCTGATGTTTTACAATGAATAGATAACTTGTGTCTACTTGTAATTAATTATCTATACAGCCAATTGAAATATAAATAGGGCTATTTCAATATAAGGGCTAAAGCTTACCTGACCCTAAAGCCTCTTTATATATAAATTAGAATTTATGACTAGATGTCTAACATATTATGGGAGAAATATGCTCTTCAGGATATTCAAATGGAAATATCACCAGCCTCATTTAAAGTTATCTGATATATAGGAAAGAAAAAATAATCACATATAAAGCAATAAGAAAAGGTTTCTTAAATGATGTATATTTTTCAATAAAAACCATGAGAGACATT